CTCCTTATTTTCGGTTCAGTGTTTTAGTGTTCACTGTTTTTAGAATAGTGTAATTTTAATTTTGCTAACAATTTGAATGCAGGCCCCTCTTGATCTTGAGGCCCTAGGCTGAAGCCTAGTTAGCCTATAGGAAAATCCGGCCCTGGCTGGACTAGATCACTAATAGTTGGAGTAGTTGGAGAGTTCCTGGGAATGCTCTTTTCAGTTTCTCACCCCTTAGGTCTTTCTCAGCATCAGAAATGGAGCCTGGGTACTAAGTCGGATGTCAAAAGCTGGCTGGCCTAGTGATATGGTCTTCCAAACTCGATTTCTAAACTTCATTCAAGGACTTCTTCCTGTCAGAGTTAGGGACAGGTTATTGGCAAAGAAATTCAATCAATGGTTTAACCATGAGAATTATGGATTGATCCCTATTAAAAGGTAATCTCTTTTTCTATGCATTACATTCAGAAGTGGTATTCAGCCGGTTTGCACCGGTTCACCAAACCTATGGGGGCTATTTCCCTGAGGTCAGAGAACCAGTAGCAATGGGCGGCTGGCCATGCCCCCGATCCAGTCCCCCTATTGCCGCTCGCTCACCCCACCTGACCGCCCAACACTTGCTCACCCCACCTGCCTGACATTCGCTCACTCGCTCAATGCTTGCCCCACCCATCCAAGTCCTATATATGCCTTTGCCATGCAGCCCAGGCCCCAGCTACGTGCCTTGCTGGTCGCCTCCATGCCTCGCCCGCTTTGCTTAGCTTAATAAAGGTAAGTAAGCATGCCACCCGCTTGCCCTGGGTCAAGGCCCTCTCACCACCCACCTCGGGCAGGTCAGGGAAAACGCCATTCCCCGGCTCCAGCCTTGCCCTGGAGCCACCGCCCTGGAGCCACCCACCTCAGCCGGGTTGGGGAATGCACCATTCCCCAGCTCTGGCCTTGCCACAGAGCCACCACCCTCTTGCCGCCCTGCCCTACGGCCCCAGCTCTAGCCCTGCTTCCTTCCCCACCACCACGTCTTTCTTTGGGCTACTTATCTTCCGTGGCAGTTGGTCCAGAGTCCGGAAGGCAAGCTGACCAGAGTTTTTGGCAGCCCCCAGCCAGCCGCCACTGCTGGGAAGTGGCTGGCTGGCAAAGAATCCTCCCAGCTGCTGCCTCTTTGAGACCCAATGACTGAGAGGCTTCTTTGCCAGCCAGCTGCTGGCCGCAGGATGCCAAAAAGTCCTCCAGTCGGCTGGTGAGAAAGCTGCTGCCCTTGCCATCTTCGTGCATGTACATCCCTTGGATTTGTAAGTCCAAGGGATGTGCCTGCATGAAGAAGACTCCAGGCCACCTCTTTGAGAGCCCGCAGCCTGACTGGCGCCACTGCCACTCCTGCCAATTGGGTGGACAAAGGGAGCAGGCGGCGGCCTCAATCTGGCATGAGCTGTGGGCCTCACCTGGGGAGGTGGGGAGCAGCTCTCCCAAGCGGCTTCTGTGACAGCCAAGGGAGGAGCGCCATTTCTCGCCTCTCATGGGCCTTCCCAGTGGTTGCAGCTGGAGCACCCCACCCCTGCTGGCATGCTGAGCCAGGCTGCTGCCACCGAGCCAGTTGGGTCCTGTCTGTGAGATGCCGGAGAAAGGCTTCCCACTGGACCTCAGGGTGGCTTCACCAAGGACAGAGTGCGACCTTGTTTCTGTGGACCCACCACCCACCGGCCACACTTTTCAGCCAGGAAGGGCGATGGAGGGAAAGCTGAGATGACTACCGCCATCCCACTGAGTCTCGAACTGGATCTGGCCTATGAGCTGGAGGGTCATACATGTCAAAAAGTCCCAATTTTTTTTGCCACCGGTTCGGTGGGCGTGGCTTGGTGGGGTGGTCATGTGACTGAGCGGGCATGTGCATGAGTGATGTCAAGTTGGCCACACCTGCTCAGCCACATGCCCCCCCCATCTAGTCACACCCACCGAACTAGTGGTGAAAATTTTTGAAACCCACCACTGATTACATTGTATTTGCCGAAATGCTGAGCTTAGAAAAGATGAAGTCTGCTAGTAAGTAAAAACTAATTTGCTCTTCCAGGTCTGTTGTCAAATTTTCTTTTCCCTGTGCATTTTTAACAAACTTCCCTTCCTCAGGGAAAAATATATACTGTTAAAACCACTAGCTAGACTATTTGCTGATTCTTGAGCCTTTTCCCAAAGTGTTCTATGAACTATGTTCCTGGAGAATTCTCAAATCCATATTGGGCAACTTATTGCTTATGAGACACAATTATTTTCGCTTTCTTAGAAAAAAACTGAGAACTGAACACTAGCTCAGTTACAAGAGGCATTAAAAGCAGAGTATCATTTGCACGTTGATAATTAAAAGAAATAAATTTAGACATTTTAGAACTGATCTCATAAAGACGAGATTATATCTGTAGGCCCCCTGTACCAAATCTATCACCCAGGCTGATTCAGGCTGATCTGTTAACAACTTGTTTGTCCATCTGCTGATAAACTAGCCACTCAACTACTTAACTAGGGTCACTTCTCATATCTCATTTGGGGGATAATCTATGCCTAGCCATACTGAAATCTGAGATAAAAATAGGAGAAAGAAATTTCTGTAGCAGTTAATGGCAAGTCAGACTAGCATCAAAATTCGGCTATCTTCTATCTGCGATCTAATTCTAACAATTGAAGAACTACCCAACATTTGGAAGTATTTAATATCCAGGCAACAGTTAAGGAAGGTGGTGAAAGTAGAAAGGCATGCTGACATTTTTTGTCTGTGCAGTGAGAGTCAATATAAGCAGGGGTGGGTTTCAACTGGTTCGCGGCGGTCTCCGCGAACCGGTTGGTTGGCGAACCCGGAAGTAACTAACTTCCGGGAACGGCGAAGGGCCCACCCGCCCGCCCGTGCTCCTTACCGGTCTTTAAAGGCTTCTGTGCTTCCATGCAGGCGCATGGCACATACAGCGCCTGCGC